GCCGGCAGGGCTGTCCTGCTGTATTTTGATTGCACTGGGTATTTCCCCTTCCTAATGGCTGCTAGAGCGGGTAGTCGTGCATTTATTAGGTTTATTGTTGATTGATGTCACCTCCCCCTAACTCTTTGTGAGCAGTAACCATCTGTGACGTCCGCTACTGTATCTCCAGGGCCAAGCACCCACTGCCTACTCATGGAAGGCATTCTATAAATACTTGTTTAAAATAAAGGCTGAAGTCCTTAGAAAAAGTATCAGGAATGATATAGAACTTAGCTGGGCCATCCAGGGTAAGGAGATGCTTCACTCTTAAATGCAAAGGTAATTCAAATGCTTGGCCAAAGAGTACAAACTCTCAGTTACGAGTTTTAGTTCTGAGGAACTAGTGTATGGCACGGTGACTATCGTTACTAATATTGAATTGTACACTTAAAATTTTTTAAGATAGTTGATCTTAAGTGTCCCCACCACACACACACACACACACACACACACACACACACACACACTAACTATGTGAGGTGATGGGTGTGTTAATTACTTGATTATGGTAACTATTTCACAACACATTTGTATATCAAATCACGTTGTCCCCTTTAAATACATATCATTTTGTTTGTCAATTATACCTCAAAAAAATTGGAAAAAAGTGAAACAAAGCAAGGATACTAGTAAAAATAAAAAATAAGATCAATCGAAGAAGATGCTATCCTGGTGCTGGATCCCTCAGGCCCCTGCCATGCTGGGATTAGCCTGTCACTTACTGGACTGTGGGTTTGCGGAGGAAGGGACAGGGCTGAGGAAATAGGGAAGGGTACTTGAAGCCTTGGGGCACAGGTCATTTACCTACAAATACGAACGTATTTCAGTGTTTTAAAGCGGGGTGCACAGAGCCAGCCAGGCTGACTCTCGGCTCTGAGAGGAAGGGAGCTAGGATGTGTCCAGCAGAGGTGGTGCTTACACGCTCGGAAACCTGTGGGTGACAGAGGTGACTGGGCAGCGCTAAGGGGAGGTGGCAGGGCCACAGGGGAAAGGGTGACGATGTGACTTTGTCATTTTCTGGCCGAGATAAGCTTCAGTGACCTCGTGTGTAACATGGGAAGAATAGTATCCACTCCAAAAGGACCCAACGAGAACATCGTATGCAGGGTGCTGGCCACGCTGTTTGCTAAGTGGTAGCCGTCATTGTCATCATCACCATCATCACCATCATCACCATCATCATCATCACCATCATCACCATCATCACCATCACCATCACCATCATCACCATCATCATCATCATCATCAGGAAAAGCACTGGACAAAAGGACCCGAGTCCAGCTCAGTTCTGCCAGGATCTGCATAACCCTGCACAAGTCAACCTCTGTGACCAAAATTCTGAGTTTATGAATCTGCAAATTCCCCGGGGAACAGATTCATATTTTCATCAGATTCTGAAAGGAGTTAAACCCCACCGATTAGCAAATCCTACATTTTCACAGCCTCACTAGTTACCTCGAGTATCCAGAACCAAATTGTCTCAGGCTACCTCGGATAAATTATACTCATTCTCACTATTCTGTTGCCCTTTCTCCTAAAGATCAACAAATTTATTTTGTGTTTCCCTCAAGAAAAAAGGTGTTACTTCATTTTTTAAATGTCAGACTCAATATTATCATTTGAATATAAACCACAGTACACAGTTTCCAAATTTTTAACTTTTATTTCAAATACTTAAACATAAAGTTGTTCATAGTAACCATAATATTAATGAGGAGTAGAAACATTAAAATATAAAAATAAGTACTGAAACGCATGCTTCATTGAATTTGAAAACGTTTGGCGGGGAAAGATAGGTCCCCCGCATCAAATAAATCCATCCCATCCTGGTACCTTAACTTGTCCTAATACAAGAAAAAAGAAGGCTCTTGGTAGCCATTAAACAAACTTTATGATTATTTTTAAGAAAATAAAGTGAAATACAATGCCATAAAAAGAAAAAAAGTCTCACCAAAAATGATCTGAGGTATATTACTGTAGTTAAAGAGAAAAAATAAAATAGGAACAAAATATCCACTCGCTGAAGTCTCTTACCATCGAAAGGACAGACCCTCTCTCCTGCAATAACTGAAGATATGTACAAATCTGCAATCAAAAGTCACTTGCACCCAATGGTGACCTGTTCCTCCCAGCCCCCCGGTGCCCACAGACCCTACCTCCCAGCTGTGGGAAATCTGAATTCTGTTTGTTGTACTGCGAGACTCACACACTCAAACGAACAAAGAAAATATTTGTCTTCATTTATATTTTGTGAAAACAAATGGAGGCAAAACTAAATTCCAGTTCACCTGGAAGGAAAAGACATATTTTCCTCCAGCTCTCGCATCTCAGTGCATGTTTATTAATCCCAAAGTGCTTTTTGACCTCCCACCGACCATTCATCAATTTTCATCAGCCGTTATCACTGGTCCCTGCAGTGCCCCTTGGTGGGTTGGAAGGAAAACTTGTAGAATCAGGTTTCACAGGAGGAAAATGCATTGCACTTGCAAAATTCCTGTCTATGCTTCAAAAAAAAAACCCAAAAAAAAAACAAAAACCACACCGCTCCGTTCAGTGAGCTGCATTTCCCTAGAGAATGGGACTGAGTTTACAACGGGCATTGTCAAAAATCAAACCTGAGCATAAAACCAGGGTCTGCGATATTGCAGGTCTACAGTGTGGGAAAAAACAACCACGGGCAGCATATTGAAATTTCTACATATTGAAGTTCCAGCAGCCAGATGTTCCTGGGGTTTATCAAAATGTGATCTGGTTAAGGGATTATTGGGACGGCTGTGCTGTACATCATGCTGTTAGTCACATGCACTCAAAATAGTTCCTACAACGCTAGGACACGGGAATTTAATACTGGAATGTATTTACAGTGCCACCAATTGCATAACAGAGCGGAAATGGGGAACAATCTACAAGCCGGTGCCAGCATGCTTCGGGGAGCAGGGTCATGACATGAATTCGGCTGTTTCTTAGTGCACAGACATGCTGGAAGGGTTAAACAGGATAAAGAAGCCCATTCATCTACAAAATGCAAAACTTTCATTTTCAAGAAAAAATAAAATTAAAATACATTTATGTTTTTGATGACTAAATTACAAATGTCTTTTGTGTATATATATATCCTATATATAAAAAGCAAGGGAAACTGCTGTATTTATTAAATGGAAAACACCGGGTTCAATTCCCATAAAAACACCAAATGCATACCATTTAGGGAAATGTCATGGATGCACATTTGACAACTAAATTACAAAGCTCTCTGATATACTGTGTAAGAAGCGTGACATTATGGCCAATAAAATTGAAGGAAGAAAAAAAAACTAATTAACACTAACGTATCATTTTGATTCACAAACATATTACATCCCACGCCTGCTCTAAATTGCCAGCAATTGGCAATTCCCAAATTCCTGAGGATGTAGACAATCGTTTCCAAATAACTGGAGCAACCAGAGGTTCAGGGGGCTCTTGGGAGCTTTAGCATTACTTTCTTCTAGCAAAGTGCTAAAGCACACCAATAGCTTAAAAACCCACCCATCCCTGCCCCCAAGAAACTTAATCCCAGGATCATGAACTGTAGGGATTCATTGTGAGTCCTCAACAAATATGATCCTGCCTTATAAAAAATATAGTTAACAATTGTGATAGAAAGAACATGGAATTTGGAGATGAAAGGCCTGAGTTCAAATTCCAGATCAACTATTTATTACCCCTGTGACTTTGGGCAAATCATTTAACCCTCCATCCAATAGGGCTAATAGCAAAATCTATGTCTACCCCACAGAAAAATGAGGCACTGTGAACGTGAAAATATTCCAAAAGTGCCAAAAAATAAAAACACTCTGCAATCGTTAACTCCCCCTGTGCTAGGAGCAGGCTGCACCTTAAACTTAGCAAGTGGGAGAAGTCCAAAGGTATCCTGCTACTAAAATCCCAATATACTGAAAGTAAACATCACAATAGAAAGAATAACTGAAAGGAAAAGACCCCAGGAAACCTGGATGTAGTAAAATTGGCCCAGGTATCACACGGAGAAAATCTGGCAGAAATTTTCAACAAGTTATTAAATCTGTTTTCACATAGTGAGCAAACCTAGACTTTAAGAGCCTCAATGGCTTTGAGATCCTAGGACAAAACATGTGGAGACTAAATTAATTAAAATTAAAAAGTAAAAATAAAAATCACACTTGGCTCCTGACAGCTAAGTAAACATGTATCACCAGAAGATTTAATGACTAACTGTACCTAACGGTCGAATTCTTCTAACTTCATTATTAAAAAAATCCATGGCAGCAGATGACCTCCTAAACTTTTAAGGTTCCGGCAGAGACATCACCAAAACCTAGAAAAGGTCTAATTTTCCAAAAAGTGTTTCTGGATGTAGGGTATTTCTGTATAAATGTACCAAATGAGAAAACACTTTGTAAGGGTCACTGTGTGATACAAATGTAAGATATTGTTGTTATTACAGGAATCTGGAAAGTTCTTCCGTACCTTATAAAGTAAGCCAAGAGACGTGAAAATTGTAAAGAATTCTACAAAATTGATATAGAAAACACTTGTATCTTAACTATAATAAATTGAGGGGGGGAAATGGAAACCACAAGACAAAATCCTTCTCTGGCTGCTCTGGCCATTCTCTGACAACCTTGGCTTTGATTTTCACTCGCTTATGCGCACGCACACCTATCTTTGTTCATCTCCGGTCCCCTGCAGTGACTCCTGTTCTGAGTTACTGAGCTTTTCAAATAACTGATCTCTCCCGTCGCTTCTCTGAACTCCCTAAACGGCGCAAGCAATCGGCTCATCAGTTCCCCACTCCTGACGCGGTCTCGGCACCTGTGGCCTCTCCAACCTGCCACCGCTCGGGCGGTGAAGCCCCCGCACGCGAGGGCGCTGGGAGAAGGCCTCCGTGCAACCCAAAGGAAATCTCATCTGCAAAACCGACTCATAAGCGGCTGCCCTGCTTAAAATTCCATTGAATCTTGAGTTTCCAGAGAGTCCTCTAGGCCTAACGGGTCCTCTAAACTTGCCTGCGGGTCTACAGCAAAGCCCGAGTTCTTTAACGCGTTGTGAGCGTTCATAAACTTCTGCAGGTATTTGGAGGTGTACAGCCAGTGGTGCTTCAGCACGTCTTCCATCTCGTAGCACTTGGACTGCCGGGCGTTCATCTTCCGGAAGCGCCTGAACAGTTTGTTGCCAGACTCGTTCCCCTCGCTCGCCCAGGCCCCGATGGAGCCGTCCCTCTCGATGATTTCAGGCACGTGCGCCAGGGTTTTGTGAAAATAATTGGTGATCTTGCCCTCGTACCTGTACTTGAACTTGGTAGAGAGGAGCTCGGCGAAGCGCTGTGAGTTGAAACTGTACTGGCAGAGGGATTCGGGGCACTCTTTAGCAGGGCACGACGACCGCCACACGGGCTTCATCTTCAGGTACAGGTCCATCAGCTCCCTCAGAGCTTCGTGCCTCTCCTTGGAGGGGAGTAACTCGCAGACGGCGTCAACGGTCTCTTTGGTCATGAGCTTCCTGGCAAAGTTGCCGTTCATCCTCATGATGGGTTTGAGGTTCATCTTCTTGCGGAGGTGCTTGTCCAGTGTGGCCTGCCATCTTTTCCTCTCCTCTCTGGAGGCGTTGGGGTTCTTGTACACCTCCCCTATCTCGAGCTGGAAGAGCTTGTAGAACTCAGCCGCATTGCCAATGTCACAGTGGAGGGCGTCTATGGAAGGCACTGTCTCGATGAAGGGCTTGGCCGAGACGCCTTTCACCCGGTCCCGGAGCTCCTCCACCGACTCGTGGTAGGGGTTGGACCTCCAGACCTCGTAGCGCTCCAGGTTCTCGGCGTGGCTCCGGGTGATGGAGTGCAGGACGAGGTTCTGCGAGGCTTCCAGGCGGGTGGCGTCGCAGAGGGTGCAGATGTAGACCGAGCCGGACGCCTCGAGGCCTTCCACTTCGCGGACAAGTTTCTCATCGTACCCGGTGCCCCTGAAGATGAACTTGAAGGTGCGGAGGATGCCTCCCATCTCGAGCCTTAATTCGCTGCTCTTCATGGCCTCCCTCTCGGCGATGAGGGGGCTCAGGATGGCCGTCAGGGTCTCGTGGTCGGACTCATCTGCCAGCATCAGGCACAGGGGCTTGCAGCACAGCTCCGAGTTAGGCTTGGCTTCCTCGAACACCTTCACCGTCTGCGAGCCGTGCGCTATGGTGATTTTCATGACCGTGAACGAGAAGCGAACCGCCTTTTCCGGAACTGCCGGCCCACTCCCGTGCTTCTCGCTCACGTCTCCCATCCCGTCACACGACTCCTTCACCACCACGGTGAAGGGGCCGTTCAGGTAGTCGTCGAGGTCTTGGGCCCGCATGCCTTCCAGGATGTCCTCTTCCATGTCCATCAGAGCGGACACCAAGGCGGAGTCGTAGCGGAACCGCTTGGCAATGGTGTCCACCGGGTAGTCGTCCACGGAGGAGGACAGCCCGGACAGCCCGTCGATAATGCCCACGTCGGTGCTGGACGACACGTTCTTCAGAGGCGGCTGCCACTCGAAGGGGTGGTAGCCCGGCAGGAGGGCCTTCTCGGCGTTCCGGAGGGCATGCAGGGGCTGAAAAATCTGCCTCCCCGTGATGGCCTTCACAGTCCTGTACATCTTGTGGTACTGGCTGCAGCTGAGGAAGGTGTTGACGCGGATGGCCAAGCAAACGGCCGGCTGCAGGCCGGAGCCGCGTCCCTGCATGACCGCCTCCAGCTCGTCTGCTTGCCTGTGCTCGTTCCTGGCCCTCAGCGCCAGCAGGAACAGGGTCAGGCACACGGACTTGACGTCTCCCCCTTCCTCTTTGTCAGCAAAGGCCTTGACTTGCAGCTTGAGCTCCCTCAGACGGTGCTTCTGGGCCCTCCGGGTCAGGGACAGGAGATGCTGGCGGGGCCGGCCTCCTTTGTTAATATGCACGAAAGTCTCCTTGGAGTCCTTGTGGCCGGAGACGTGGCGATTATATTTCTCCAAGGTGACCTCCTCGTTGCACTCCTTTGCCGGACATCTCACCACCAGGGAATTCAAGATGCTCAGGAAGGATTTCACCGGACTCTCCAGGTCAGTGGGAAAGCAGGGATACCGGCAAGAGGGACAATAGCTGCCCATGACTTTGAGGCATCTGAGAATGCAGATCCTGCAAAACACGTGCTTACAGCTGGTCTCCACAGGGTCAGCCAGGATGTGTTCGCAAATCTGGCAGGAGATAGATTTCACGAAGTGCGCGGGGAAGTCCACCGCGAGGAGCTCGGTACCGAGATGTATCTTACTGCAGTTGGCGACCTGCTTCATCGCTTCCTTCCCTCTGATCCTCACCTGAGCTCTCCTCTTGCGCCGACGCGCTTGCCTCGCCCGGTCAAGCACCATTTTGAGTTTTTTGCTGAGCTGCACGTTTGGCTGATGACCCTTCCTCTTGAGTCCCCGACGGGTGGCGTGGCAGACGTCACAGGATGGCGTGTGGGGGTGCCACTCTACGGTCGCATTCCTCGGGAAGTAGACCTCGCACGGGGCGCTGAACTTCCGGTACATTACGGTCCAGCAGCTATGGCAGAACTCGGTGGGGTGGATCGAGTCAACGTCTGCCTTCACGTCGACCCGGAAAACCTTGGCAATGAGGTCTGGCCAGGAGGTGGCTCTCTTCTCCTTCTTCCGTAGAAGGACTTGGGTTTTGCCGTCCACGGGCCCGTGGACTGGATACCTCCTGCTGTGCTCTGCGCTGTTGAAAGAATTCCCGCAGATGCGGCAGAGATGCCGGAGGTTGGCTTGGTGGATCGCTTTGTCTCTTGCCTTCACATCATCATGGGACTTCTTCAGAAACTTAGGGTGAGGCTTCAGGGCCGGCTGCGTCGAGGCCGGCTTCTCGCCACCAGCCTTGTCTGGGACTGCAGGAGACTGCTCGAGAGAGAGTTTCCCCTCGGAGGAATCCTTCTTTTCCTTCTGGGCTTCTTCGGGTGCCTTTTCTAAGGATCGCACCCTGAACAGCTTAAATTTCCATTCTGCAAATTTAAGATGCGGATGCTGGATTTCATCAGGAGCGGAGCTGAGTCCCAGAGTGGGTGGCAAAGAGACAGCCATGCTGGCCGAGGTGCCTGGAACAATGAACATAAGTCAGATTAGGGAAAAAATGTCCATATCCCATGGATGCATCTTGGAAGGAATACAAATTAATCCATACAAATATTCATGCATTCATTCATTCGTCCCCAAAGTTACTTATTAAACCTCCTAGTTTTTGTTGTTGTTAATCTTCACCTGAGGATATTGTTTCCACTGGGGGTTTTTTTAGAGAGAGTTGAAGAGAGGGAGAGGGAGGAATAGATAGAAACATCCATGTGAGAGAGACACATTGATTGGTTGCCTCCCACACATGCCTCAATCAGGGCTGGGGAATGGACCTGCAACCCAGGTATGTGTCCTTGGCCCGGAATCAAACCCAAGACCCTTTGGTGCGTGGGCCAATGCTCTACCACCGAGCTTCACTGGCCAGGGCTAAACCTCCTATTTTAATATTCTACGTTAGGCGCTGATCATAAAGCAGAGCATGGAGTCGTTCCCTGTTCTGACACTGCCTCTGGTCTCTGCACCATGCGTTGAAGGGCATGTAGCACCGTGGTTGGTTTTATGTACGCACACTCTTATTTGCTTTCCACCCAAACCTTAGGGTCTTTGAAGACAGACTCTCTCTCCCCAAGTTTGCTAGTACACATCAGGTGCTCAATAGTTATTTGCTGAGTACATGCAAGGAAAAACTGGCTACTAAAATCAATGAAAAGTCATATTTTTCACATTGTATTAGCCTCATTGCACTTGCTGGACAATATATTTCCAGCTTTTTAAAGCAGTCTCCCGGGAGGTTGGTTGTTTATTTCTTCCGAACGGGTCATAAACGGATGATAAAGCTACTAACCCAAAGAAAGCCATTACTCACGACTTGAAGGATGGCGTGAATTCTGAGGTGTATGAATGCAAGCTAATAATAAGAATCATGGAGAGTAATTTTGCTCACAATTTTAATTAGTGAACACCGCTGTGCATTATACGGCGGTGTCTACGTTAGACCCAAAAACCACATTACTCTCTAAACCCGCAATAAACCACAGTGTGCGCATGCAAAGAGTCCAAGGACTTTTAAGAAGAAAAATGCAAGTCCCTCCAGATAGAGCCACAAGCAGCTCTGACGTGTTTATCGGGCTACCATCCTGAAAGTCATTACCGGGCAATGGTCAGTAGCTCTATAGCTTGTAGTAAGAGGTAGGAGTAATGTTTATCTTCTGGTAAAAAACGTTTGCCATTACATATGCCAGGAAACCCTACAAATCTGGGTTGTGGTGCAGACATCAATAGTGCTGTAGAAAAAGGTCTGAAAATGCCATTTGGGTCCTTTCTAGACACAGTCAGCACAATACCGTCAAAATTCTTTCGTGCACATAACTGGAAAAACAGCCATTGTATTTTCAACCTACCATCTTCCTCTGCCAGGTTTGCCTGCGTGAACACTCTTAACCCACCAATTATATCAAGCAACACGTCTCCCCCTCAATTAATTAACTAGCCAAAGTGATGATTTTTTTAAAAATAACCATGTGGTCTCGGAGACTAATCCTCAGGTGAACCCACTTTGGCCATGGGTGGGGTGGGGAGGGGGGGCAAGGGCTAATCCTGACTGCAGCCAGCCAAGTTCCTCCTTAGGTCATCCCTTTAAACAATTTAAGTTCATTCCATCTTGCATGCATTGTGCTTCAGAGATTGATTTTTTCATAAAGGCTAAAAGCTAATTTCCAAGACTTGGTTAAAGGGAAAATCCTGTCAAATTGTCCTCTAAGCAGAACCGTGTGAGAACCAAACAAATTCCAAGCTACTTCTAAGGTCTCATTAACCTTAAGAGTATTTCAGCTGCAACTCAACACACACCTCAAAGTTGCTTATGGTTCAGCGATGTTCCTAAATTCTGTCCTGTGTCGGGGGCGAGGGCTTTCCATGTCGTCCCTGTCCTGTTGGCTTGCACTCATTCCCAAGTGCCTCTTCATTCCTTTAGCCTTCCCCGACCCAGTCTTTTTGAATGCGCTTGTCTGGAATTCCAAGATCCTAATGAGTCAGTCAACCACCAGGCGTGTTGGGAGGGGCCCTAGAGCTACCTCCCCTCCCTCTCCGCTCTCTGCTGACTCCCACTGGCCTGTAATGTTATATCAGAAGCTACCAAACTACGTTTATGTAAATAATGCCAAGAGTGCCATCACCAAGCAGTTATTAGTGATTGACATCCAAATCAAGCGTACTTATTAGATTGTTTTCCAACTCAACTGCCAAAAGTTTATTCAAACTAGAAGCAAGAAGGGGGGCAGCTGTTATTCTTGTTTTTAGGGGAATATTCACCAAAATGCTATTGGTAGTTATCTGTGGAAGCTAAAAAAAATAGAAATTTTATGCTTTGTATCCTTACCTTGATTTCTACTTTTTCTAAAATTACCATGTACTACTTTAAGAAGATAGAATGTTTAAGAGCTAAAACTAATGACATTTTTTATCTATCTAATTAGTAAAGATTAAAAAATATTGAGCCCAGCTGGGCGTGGCTCAGCTGTTGAGCGTCGACCTAGGACCCAGGCCATGGGGGTTCGATTCCCGGTCAGGGCACATGCCCGGGTTGCGGGCTGCAGCCGATCAATGACTCTCTCATCATTGATGTTTCTATCTCTCTCTCTACCTCTCCTTTCCTCTCTCTGAAATCAATAAAGATATATATATACAGATATTACTCAGCTTTAATGAAGGCATGGGGAAATGAAAACATCTTCATACATTCTTGGGAGGAATGTACGTCTCTCGTGGACAACGCTCCTTAAATGTCTTTAAAAAGCTTAATGCATATTTTCTTTGGTGCAATAAATCTGCTTTTAGAAAGTTATTTTATAGAAATGGTCCCACAGGTTATTCTTGTGGGAGTAAACATTCCACAGGTTCGTCCCACTTACATGGAGACAGAGAGAAAGGTTTGTCCTAAAAAATTGTTACTCTAAAAATAGGAAATAGCACCCAAGTTATCAACAATAGGGCATTATTAAACTAGGGTCCAGTAAAGAATAGAAAACAATACAGAAGTTTCACATTTCTATATGCATCAATGTATATGTGCAATTTCTAGAGGCATCTATATTACAGTAAGATGCCCACATGACAAAGCAGAGAACAAGAGCAATATAGGGGGGCTTCTTTTATGCACATTTGTTCATATTTGTGTGCACCTGAAAGTGCAGAGATTCCGAAGGACATGCACTAAAGTCTCAACCATGCTCACTCTCTACAGAACGAATTGGCACTGGCGAGGAGTCTCCTGATTTTCTGTTCTATTCGTTTTATATCATTTGAATTTTTCACAAAAAACATTATTTTTACAACTTTTGTCATCAATTCCATTTAGGGGAAAAAGTGTTTTAAAGACTAGATTGGCAGGTATATCCACGCAAGTCACTTTTCCGTATTTATTTCTAAATTTGAGACCTGGCTAAACCTTAAATCTGACCACCACTCTCAGCTGATCTTTTTTTTCTGGTAAGCGCGTCGAAAGGGGACTGAAAAATAAACCTGCAGACAGCATGAAGTTAGAAAAGAGTCCTCTCGCGGTCATGTTCCCACACTAGGGAATCTGCCAAGCGCCTGATGGCCTCCCTTCTAACAACAGGTCCCACAGCAGACCAGCCCAGATTCTAAAGGGCAGAGTGGCCGTTGCTGGCTCGGCCCTGCTCCCGTGGGACACTGCCGTCTCCGCATTGCCATCACCTGCCATCACCTGCCACCACGGCCACAGTGATCCCTCTCTCCCCCGGGCACAGGGTCATCTGTACCAACCAGTCTGGGGGCTTGGATGGGGTGGAAGCTGTCGTTGGTGGTGAGTGCTGTCACCTTCAGGAGGATGGGCCACAGCTGCAGCACCATCCCCCACCTAGCCCAGCTCCCCCCCTGCGCACATATACATCCTAGTGCTTGGCCCTTAATCTCCCCTCTGAACAAAATCAGCTTGGTCTAAACACAGCGCCTAAGCAGCTAATGTATGCCCAGGTGTGACCCCTCTCAGTGCCACGCCTGCTCCACTCACTCACTCATTCACTCCAGAAACACTACTGTCTACAATTGGCCCAACACCATCCTCCAAAAGTTGGCAGCATCAAAAGCCTTTTTCTAAGTCTCAGGCAGCCACAAAATAACCCCAAGATTGTTGCCTTTCCTCCAGGCAACGTATTGCTTGAACCAGTTCAGAAAGAGAAATGTCCTGTGTCCCAAGCCCTGGCTGGGAATCCTGGCTCAGGGCCGTAAGAGCGGGGTTTCTACAGTGGCAATTCTCAAAACTATTATGTATCACAATCATTAGGGAGCTTGTGTTTTTGGAAAAATAATGCAGATCATCAGGTCCCAGAGAGCCTGATTCCGTTTACCTGGGATGGAGTCCAGAAACTGTATTTTTGAACAGACATCCCAGTGATCCTGCTGGGAGTGGCCCACAGGTCACACCTTGAGAAATACTGGTCTCCTACTTAGTCCAGTCGAATTCAAACAAATCCTGGCAATGCTTGGCAATGGCTGGGAAAGTACACACTCCCTCCCCCCCGGCAATTTGTCTGCTCCTGATAATTTTTCTTGCCTGGACCAGCACAGTATTTTTTTTTTTTTCCTGAGAGTCTCATATCTTTCCTTCTGCTGCTTTGTGGACTCTCATTTAAGAAGCACACCTTGAACCCCTCCTCTGCCTCAGCATTCATTTACAGTAACTCAGGCACCCTGCAACTTCTCTATGAACCTACAGCATCTTCCTAAACTTGACTTTTGGTTCCTTTCCTGTTTTCACACATTAGAGAGCAAAGTCAAATCGACGTCAGCATCCCTCCCTCCCCTCATCCCCTGCAAGAAAAAATAAAAAAGAAAAAGGCCAAGTATTTCTGATTAGAAACATAAAAATGTAAATAAATATGTAGCTCAAGGCAGGAAAAGTCCGGATGTTACCTTGCTCAGCAGGCTGCCTGGGCAAAGTGTTGGGATGTTTGTAATTCAGTTGATATTACTGGACACCAACAAGAAAGCAA